CGACTTGCCTAGGTTGTGACTTTTCCGCTTTAAACCCTTTAAGTTGTCGGCACACATCGCAAGTGGGTCACGTGTCGGCGCCACGACCACAACACTGTCACACAAAACTCAGAGGCTCATCCGCCCCGCCGAGATAATTAAGCGAGCGCCAATTTTGCAATCTTGGCTAATTCGGTTACAAACACGTATGAGCAACCGGATCGATTCTGGTCCGGTCGGCAACATCTGTTTATCAGTGGCGGCGGTAAAAGATGCATCTGATTGGAACATCGACACAAACACACAGCTTGCTACACTGCAACCTAGTTTGCAAAACGATTTATTGATGGCACAAACATACATGAATCTCGCCCACGCTCTGCAAACTGGCCGCATATGCGCCGAAAGGTTGAATTATATAAAAGATTCAAAATTAATTTTTGACTCGTCAATAAACTGTGCAATTTAAAATTTTATTATAATATTCATTAATATTCAATTAAGTTTTAGCTGAATAATTAGTTGACATTGGTTTAAAAAAAATGACAATTTTTAGTTTTCAACACCTGCAAAAATCCATCATTTTAATCAATTATAATATTGTTTATCACTTTATTTGTGTTATAATTACGATAATTACTAGCAAATTAGTTATGAAGGTTAATAGAAGTAATTTTTGAATGATATAATTGAATTTATTCCATTTTCAACTGAAAAAACTTTGGGTTTATGGGGTTTATACATGTATATTAAAAACGATTAAAATTATTAAAATTTTACATTTGAATCTTGAAGTTAACTACACCATTGGAAACAAATGTGTAGATGATTATAAAGCCCCTAGAAAAATAAAAATTTAATCTTTCGTGAAATGTTAATGTGTTCATATCTAAATTGATCTATATAACAGAACTATTTCATAAATTTGGCAAATAGTAAAGAAATATTCAAAATATAGTAAAACAAGCATTGAAGTGTTGAAAAAGAAAATTGCTTAATATTGCACATTGAATGATAAAATAAATTTCAGTTTTTAAAGCTATTTAACCCTTTTATTAGCATTTTTTCTAATTTTTTTTTTAAATATCCCTTACATCCTTCTTCATATGTTCATTCTTCACTCTGGTTAACAAACCCCATTGTGGTACAAAATTAAAAGGAAAAGACATGAAATTTGCAACGCTCCCTCATACAATGCAGCAGCAACGTGCTTTCAGACCGTTAATGAATCGCAGGCCTTTTCGTGCATGTTTGCTCGCAGGAAAGGTACTGCAGGTCGATTCCATATTCATGGCGAAAGAGAGAGGGTTGCTGAGAGCTCGCAGATTGATAAATGGGGCGGCCTAATGGAAAACGCCTCTCTCACCCTGCTTTTGCATTAGAAAAGGAGCAGCATGAACGCAAAAAACGCGAGACTGGTCCAGCCATGTCCGACTAAAAGCCGCTTGTGTTCTGCTGACGGCGGCCTTTCATCAAGCCTGACAGATTGCGCGCCTTGCTTCTTTGCCTGAACAGATACAAAAACGCGCGCTGCTGCACGAGAATCCTTTTTGCCTCTCATTCGATTAGCCCTAATTCGATTCGCTCTTGATTTTCTTTTGTCTGCCTGATGCAATCGATAGGTTCGCTGTGCGCTCGAGTTTCCCAGCTCGCGTTCTACAGAATACTTTCAAGATGAAATATTTTCGGCCAAGTTTTGACTTCAGTAAAAAGCAGATCGTTTATAAATAATAATTAAAAATGTTAAAAAATAATTTACGAAATTATTAATTAAATAAATTGAATGAAAAACTAGTCAACAGATCTAAAATATCTGGAAATTTTGTATTCAAATTGAAATAATTAATTACTTAATTAGATTAGAAACAAGAACTAGATTAAGAATATGTATCATTATTCCGTCTGTTTAAAATTTGGGTAAATTCAAAGCTGAAAAATCTTAAATTGAAGAATAGAAAAATTTGTAAAAATGTGGTTTTTAGTATTATTTGCAAATAGAGAAAACTTAAACGCAACACCAAAATTGTCAGACATAATATAAAACAGGAAGACAAATATTGGCAAGGGAAATTACTGATCCTATAAAAAATTTAGATCTTATGCACAAAATAAGTATTTAAATCAATTTTATTTACTTTAAATTAATTAAATTTAAATTTTTATAGATTGTGTTTAAATTTAGTTGTAAAAATTTAAGAGCCTAAAATTCCAAAATATTCAGCCAAATTAGCTCGATCATTGGTTTTACAGATTTCAGATTTCATGATCAATGCTCATGTAACAAACGCTTTTTTACTTTCTCTAATCAATAAAAAAATAAGTCAATCAACTTTAATTTTCAAGTTTTCATAAAATTGTACTGATAATTTATAAAAATGGACCCTTTTGAATAACAAGGCACGCTCATTATCCCAGGGAGATTAATGACGAGTTTAGCTTCAATATAACAAAAGCCCACGTGAGGAATGCAAAACAGTTTCATTCACGCACGACCCATGTTTCCCTCGGGCGCATTATTGTTACTGCGGATAATTTGCATTTTGTGTTTGAACTTCCGAAAGTGCGGGCGTTGCGCAAAAAAGGGTCGCTTAGACCTGCAGTGATTCGTTGAAAGTCGTAATTTGCACTCGGCAGTAAAAAGGCGGCAAAGGATTGAGGGGAAAAGACCGTAACTCTGCGACGGCGATTAGGGGTGGGTATCTGGGCGCTTAATTTGTAGCTTGGAGAGGAAAATAACATGACGCGAAGAATTGCCATTAAGTGTCTCTTTCCGCGCGTCTCTCGGCGACTCCTCCTCCACTAATGGCTGCACTGTTACGCAGCAAGAATGATTGCCTCTTTCGTCCCTGCCAAGAATTCATCTCTGCTCCGCGACTTGTTACACGCTCGGGGAAAGAAAGATTCGTGTTTCACTTAAACTGAAATATTCGAAGCATAAATTTTGCTCTTGGAATGAGGAAAAGTGAAAATGAAAATACATAAGACATTTTCCTTCGATTCAAACTAAACGTTCAAAATTTTATTTCTAGGGACAAACTGTAATTGCATCATGATTAATTTTTGTCTTTAAATTTACAAAATATATAAATGTTCAGGAACATTAACGTTAAGAATCAGAAGTTTGTAAAATATTTATCAACGGTTCATTTGGAGGGCCGGGGGAAAATTATTTTAGGTAGTCAGATTAGACGTTATATGTAAAATTTTGTGTGTGGTAGGTAACATTGAAAATTGAATTATTTATGCTTCTTTTAAAGATTAGCAGTAATTTCTGTATTATTTATAGAAAAAAGTAATTCTTCAATACTTTTAGCAAACTTTGAAGCAAATTCTCTTCCTTTCCTAAACATTGTGTAATAAAAGAATGCTGTTTAGATTAAAGTTTAGACAAAAAGATACAAAACTTTACATAATCTTTTTGAACAAACATAACAAAAATTACAGAATGAAAAGAAATAACTTTAAAAATAATAGTAATTAAATTTAATAAATGGTATTTCATAGCTTAAAGTTCGCCCTCTATGATAGATTTGTTATGAAATTCTTCTTTAATTGTTTAATCATGAAATTATCTTTATACAAAGATTATTCATGCAATATTTTATAAACCCTATAAACATTCAAATCTCAATTGAAACTTTGCTAGAATTTTATAAGAAACTAAAGACGATATTTGAATTAATTCCGCAGTAGAGCCCTTGGGAGTCTTTTCTGTGGGCCGAATCATACTTGTGTTTAATTAAAGCGAAACCTGACACTAGGGGTGCCTAGCCGTAGGCCCATTTTCCGTTTCAAAGGCACGTGGGTCTTTCGGTCTGTTCCTTGAAGGCGAGAATCTTAGGGGCGACGTAATTAAAGCCGGCAGCTGAAGCCCTGCTGGATGCTTTAATCGCATTGCGGGGCCAAAGCCGTAACTCGAGAAGGGACGCTAAATATTTAATGACCACCGGCAGCACTTTCTGGGCAGAGTGATTACGTTCATAATTTGGCGAAAGGTTGCGCTAATAATCTGCGGCGCGCATTCTACACCTGCTAATTATTAAACGCACAGGGCGTTCGCAAAACTCGCGCCCGGAAATTTAATGGCTTTTCACAAAGCGACCGCCTAGAGCGCGGCTGCGTTAATTAAAACCACGTAAACCAAAAATTCCAAAAACCATTAAGCTAGATAATTTCACTCAATTTGTGAAATTTAATTATACGTGAGTTTAAAAAATTATAATATATTGGCATTAATCTTTAAATATAAATTTAATCCTTTTAAAGCATCACTTATTTGCTATTTTTCTTTCAACTTAATCACAATGATTGTGATGAATGTAATTAATTAAACAAATTCACTTCACTACTTGAATGTCTTGAATTAAAGATATGCGAACTAACCAGGGTCAGATACAGCAGTATTTAATTTTTATACATTTTGTATCTACATGTACATGGTTTTGCGCAGTCACGCTGTAATATACTATTATGCAAATTTCATGTGATTAGTGCATTCTAACTTTTATGATAAAAAAAAACTAATTTAATTAAACAATAATTAATTTATAAACTGCAAATAATTATATTTAAAAAAATTTAATAGCAAAAAATGAACATAAAAGTTTATTAACTATTAAAACTTAGACTTATTTACAGATCTATGGTATTATTTTGTTATATGATAAAACATAACTACTGCTTTATTATCTATTCTACACAAGTTTTACTAAATAATATCAATTTTTCATTGATATCTGTAGTTACAAATCGAGGATTGCCGGCAGGGTAGATCCTCATTGCCACCAGTTTGCAATTACAACCAAGAGATTTCCAACGCAATCTGACGTCTTAAGCGCCGACCCAGATGCAAATTGTATGGCTGATAAGAACTGGGTCACGTAATGAACCGAGTTATGCAACCGGCTGCTCACAATTGACCGACCGGTTGCCTACGGCTTCCATTCCCAGGAGCTCAGCCATGGGAATTCGATTTGTAATTTCGAATTCAGGAGATCTAACGTGCGCATTATCTGTTGCAGAACTCGTCGGTATGTGCGGCACTGCAGTCATTACTGGAGGAGGAGCGCCTCGCAGACTTCCACCCCATACTGTGAGTAAAACGCCTTCTTAATGCATCATTAAACACGATGATTTCAACCCATTATCTCCAGAAATGGAAGGGAATTTGCGTGAAATTTGGGCAGCAAATATGTTTTGTTTAAATGAAAATTATATATATGTAGAAAATCGAAACCGCAAATATTTCCTGAAATTTAAATTAATAAAATAAAAAGTTATAATTGATTAAGTAGAGTCTGAATTATTTTCTCTAGTTAGGCGAGAATTAATTTGCTTGAGAAAAAGAAAATTTAAAAAAAACCTTATCGAGATTTTTACAATTAAAATGAAAAAAAAAATGATAAGCTCCTTGCATAAGCTTTTTTTAATCAGAAAGAAGAATTATTCTTTTGTCGGAGGTTGAATAGTGGAAATGCCAAAGGTTTATCTTCTTTATACCGGGATAATGATTTTTGATCGCATTTCCGACCTTTAATCTTTCCAACTAATGCCCGCGGAATCAATTATTCTGTGCCTACATCGGAGTAATATATTTGCCGTGCGCCAACGTGTCTAAATAAATTTTGTTTGATCAAAAGTGGAGCCGATGTTTTGCTCTGGCACACATTAATGTCAGTCAGCGCGGCTCGAATTTCCATAAATCAGCGTCGGACGAACAAAAGCAAAAAATTTTAATCAACCGGCTGGAAAACGCGTCGAAAGTGGAGCACCATTGCCGCCGCAGGCTTCCGTATTAATTTTCGACCGACTCGGTTTTCAGTACCTTGCGCGCGGGCAAACAAAAAACGACGAACCCCTCTCCAAAATCCGGCTCCCCTCTTTACTTTATTTCTTCCTACAAAAGCGGCCATTCTCACTCAGCGAGAGCAAGAGGAAGAAGTTCGCCTCGTGCTTTTCGCAAAATATAAGGACCATCCTGCCGGCTTGAATGAACACGCGACCGAGCCGCCCCACTACGTGACAAATCGCTTCTCTTGTAAAACGCAAGCATTTTGCGAGCAGCCTCCTCACCACCATTAATTATCAAGTGCTCGACTCATTTTTAACTCTTGCTCGACTGCGTGCGAAACTGCGCCGAGGCCACTCGACTGCTCACCTCTCTCGTCCGCCCAAAAGCAGCTTCCAACCAAAAGTTGAATGCGACTTTTCCCAGGAAAAAATATAAAAATACCATGCAAAGATTTTTCACTCAAAGCTTTCATTTAATTTCACATTAAGTTTATTAGTGTACCAAGAGGCAATCTCTATACCAATTTCAAAATACGTCATACAAAAGAAAGATAAATTGAAAACAAAACAAGAAAACGTAAAATGAGGGGGAAACTCACACGTTTAATAGAATGCTTTTTTTGGGAAACAGCAATAAATTTAAATTTACGCAGTTCATATTTGATTTACTCTAATGTAAATAATTTTATGAAATTAAAGTTTTCGTTTTAGTAAAAAAGTGAGCTCTTACATTAATTTGTTAAAATTCTCTCGTCATTTTTATTCACTCATTTTATTGTCAGCAACTTATTGATTTAATCCAAAGCGTGGAAAATTCCCATAAACAAATTTGAATTCCATAAAAGTCTGCCCAGACGTTGATAGAAGAATTCAAATAATTTGCATTCCTCTGGTGACGTCTTTCGTTCTTCACTGGAGTGTTTGCGTGCGGGCCCCTCGAGAGATAGCTGGCGACCGAGTGACGTCAAAAGGAATGCAATTTTTAGGACTTTGTGCTCTCGCCTTTTGCTGCCATCGTCAGTGGCTTCCCTCATCGCCCATTCAACTGCTCTCTGCTGCATTTGCTCTTAATTTTCGTTTTTTATTAGACCGTAACCAAATTTATAGAAATTGATCGCCTACATGTAAATTTTCTTTGTTGTTTTTTAATAAAATGTATTGATTTTCAACAAGGTAACATCAATCTGTAAATAAATGTAAAGGGTGAGTATTCCCTCTTTTTGTAAATTTATCCCCCTGAGAGTTTCATTTGTATACATGAAAAATCCATAAAATTCGAGTCTAACACAGCTCTTGATAATTTTTCCCCTATGGGATATAATTTTTAATGTGGTTTTCCTTTTGTGAAAAGCAAAGCTTTTAGACATTCACTCTTTTGGTTACTCTCGGCCGACCCTTGCAACTTTTTCCTCTCCGCCGGTTTTCGATGGTAATTAATAGAAAGGGGTTGGCGGGTGTCAATTAGGCGTGAAAGCAGCAGCGTCGCGTTTCTGTGACGAGTCGGCGGGGGGTCGAGTGTCTGCAGCGAATTCGAGAGAGAGAGCGGATGGGCGTTTTGCGTCTGGTCTCATCATCAATCATCGTCGATTCGGTTGACCCGATCGGAAGGGACAAGAGGCGCAAACAGCGTGTCGCCTTTCGAAACCGGACCGCCCAGTGGTCACTCGCGGAATTAGAGCAGATTACGCGGCTAATTACGGCGCATTCCCAGGCGGTCGCACCCCATTTTTGCACGCCCCGATATATCTTCATTTAAATTTAATCTCGCTCGCCGCCGCCGCGTCCTCTTCCTGCGCAGCTCCAGCACTGCGGCCGTTGATTGTAACGAATGTTTATCCTGCGAGCCACATTATATTATTATACTGACCCCCCGCTGACTCCATGCATCGTTAGAACTTTCGGAAAATAAAATATTCAATATTTGAGACGTCTTAATTGAATTTGCAAAGCGATTAAAATGACCTTTCAATGAGTTTTTGGACAAAAAATTTTAAGATTTTCTTTTAAAATTAATACCAAGCTCTAGGTTGGGTAGCAATGAAAGTTCATTCGATATTTTCAAAATATAATTAGTAGACAAAGATTATCAATGTGCGCTCGCCTCACCGCCAACTTGTTTCGCGCAGGTGTTTGCACGTCAAAAGATTGACTGCCGTGATTGCATCTCTAATGTTGGCTTCTTCGACGCGACGCCTGAGTAATGCTCCCTCGGCGGTCAGGCAAGCAAAATAAATCACGTCAACCGAGCCAAGACTTGGAATATTCAAAAGACACACGCGGGCAAAACAACATCGACAGGCAATGACCCCTATCAATCACACTATACGGTGACACGCCAAAAGCATTATTTTTTCCAGAGCTATAACATAAAATGTTCACAATGTTCATCCGTGCGAGTTAGAAATCACAACCAAAATGCTTAAGATATTCACAATTATAAAGTTGTAATTTTCTGTGGAATCAAATTTCTGAAGAAGAAAAAAGTAGTGATAACTTTTATTTGAAGTTTTTATCAGATCAGTTAATGAGGGGTAAAAAAATCAGGCAACTATTGAATAATTGTTCATGTTTCACGAGACACATATTCATACAAAGGGCACTTCAGTTAATTTTCCCTTTATAAGAAAATGAACTCTCTTTTGATTTTGATCAATTTGAGTCGTGAGCATTGTGTGTTGAGCCGCTTTTACTTTTAACAAGGGTCAAATTTTAACCATTAACAAATGAAGAATTCTTTAAACTCTAAAGATAATAGATCAAAGTCTATTGCAGTTCTCCTCTTTTGCCTTTAGCCTCACCGTCTTTTTTGTGAAAAATTTGAGAAGCGAAATATTGGATTATATATTTCGATGTACTTTGAAACAATAATGAATTTATAAACATCTTCAATTAATTTTCAATGCATTTATAATGTTGACCTGCTTTATTCATTTTCTTCTTCTCGTAAATATTTTTGCTAAATTTGTTTGGCTCAATTGGCACTGTTTTTTTTATAATGGTTGCATAACAAGTGGAGCTGTTTTTACATTGCCATGACATTATCAGTAGTATCCTCAAGTCTACATTGTGAAATTTAATCTTTATTTATTTATAATTTATTCTAATTATAAAAGAAATGTAAAAAGTGCAATATTTGTAAATAAAAATACATAATACTCATAAAAAAATCAAATTTTTGTAACTTTTTTATAAATAAAAAATAATAATATCCTCTCTTACAACAATATTTTATTTCTTATTCAGTTCATTATTCAGCTTTGATAAAAAGAAACAATCATGATCCTCCTGGTAGCTTCGTCTCAGATTAGAAACCCTGTTTTGAAAGTTAAATAATGAAAAAAAAGTTTAATTTATTTCAATGCAAAAAATGAATGGCACAAAGTTATCAGAACACTCATTTGTTGGCACATCCAGGCGCGCCCTTCTCGCCCTAGCCGCCGCGGGACAGAATAATCTAAATTGCAAACATGAACGCAAAAAAGTTCAAACAGAGCGATTCCGAGCCGTATAAAAAAAAACTTGAACTTGGCGAGACGAGGCATGGAGGTAAATTAATTGTGTGGAACCACACAAACTGGTCTACCTTTATCTCGAACAATTTCCAGCGCATTTTATTGCTGTTCGCAGGAAAAAGCTGCCGCTGACCAACCCTCCCCAGGACAATTCCTACTCGTACCTGGACGACATTGTGGATTTGCTCATGGAAAACAATCAAGGTAAGCTGCTTTGCTAAGATTTACGAGTTCCCGTCCAGCATGAGACTTTGGGCAATTTTTCATTTTGATATTATGAATTATGAAACAAACGTGAAATAAACAGTTCAAATCTCACAGGGAATTGTAAATGAGGAAACATTTTGCGGAGAAAAAAATGCAAATCACTTTTTCGAGAGAAGTTTCCTGTGTGTGTTTTTTTATTTCATTATTTATGAGAGAGCGGCGCACCGCACGTGGGAGGGATTTTTTCTCATCTGCCCATATTCAAGGGCCATCCGAATTGTATGTTGCAAACTTTTTTTCCACCGCACACACACGTACTTAAAAACACAGCAGTGAGACGGAAAAAATGTAAATTTAGTGAGCGCAAAAATATAATGTGGTGACCTCGAAAGCTTTTGTTTCTTTTCGCTTGAGCGTGAAAATCTGTTTTTGGTGCGCGACGCGTGTGCCACCAACATGTGTTCCCGCCGGCTTATTATCATAACTCAATAAAGTGAAACTTTTATTCTCGCCGCCGCCGCCCGCCCGCCAATTCACTTAACTCTTTTCTTTGTCGCGCGCCTGCGAATATCAATTCACTCGCTTTTGCTCGGCAATAAATTTTGCCAGCATCTGATATGTTACCCTCAAGTAATTCTCTTTGTGCGAGACACGCTCGTTTCCTTTACCCGAATAGTGCCAGATTTATTTGTTTTGACACACATTCGCTCGACATCATGCTCGTTGGAAGAAAAGACTCACTGTTGATTCTATGCAAGCTTTGACTTAAATGCTATTGCTATGAATTGTTCTAGAAAATTCTTTATTTAAAATTACAAAACTATGGTCTCAATAGTAATCGAAACATAATTAAAATGTCATTTTTTATATTGAGTTAGTTAAATATTTGAGGAAGTGATTTAATGCTCTTCTTGCAATACTGCATAATATGAAAATATAATTTATATTGGTTAAATTATTTGAACTAAATTTAAGAACAGTTTTTATTTCATTAAATTATCAACTAAATGAAAACTTTTGAATTGCGTCATTCAAAATAGTTCTTAAAACAAATATTACTCCAATTAACCGACGAAGAACTCATTAATATCGTATAACTGGTATTTGTATTATAAAATTACTTCAATTTCTCGTATTTTACATAATGTAATTTCAGATGATATATCTTTCATTATTTTGAAGTTCACTGGAAATGAGTTAAATATTCAAACAATCATTACAACTTTATCTTGATTTTGAATAATGACTATCTAAATGATCATCAATCTCATCATGGAGGTCATTTACACAGTATTTAGTTAGTAAAACGCGGCCTGCATGTATCTGTTGAAATGTATTAAAAGAGGAATGGGAAAAGTGCCTCACCCGCTGCTAAAAATCTATAATTATAGCAATTTAAGTGTTGTGATATGAGAAATAAGCTTGAAGATAAAATATTTTATTTTAAAGTGTAGACTCCATCGGCAACCTAAAATTGGTTTATAGAATAAAAATTATATTAAAAGCATTCCATTATTCTCGCATGTTCGCAAAAATCAGAAAAAATAACAATTTAATCGCATGAATTAAGATGAAAAAAAAACTCATTCACAAATATTTTGCCATTATTTTTCTTAAAATAAACTATTTTTGATCAATTTTTTCGTTTACACAATCTCCTTCATGGAAACGTCACATTTTTTTTCAAGATCAATTTATCTAAAGCTGGTAAGTTTGACAAAAATTGCTCAAAGTTTTTGCGTTTTTACGAAGCATTCCTACTTGCAAGTTTTACCGGGTGAAAATAAAAAAAATATAGCTCTAAAATTTCGGAGCAGAAAGTGTGTGCATTAATTTCTAAACCTTACTATCGATCCACCAGCATTTTTGCTTGTGCTAATTCCGTCTTCCCCTTCAAATTATATTTTCCTCTTAAATTACAAAATTCCCTATCAAAAGCTTGACGGTTGCTTTTTTCTCGCGGGGCCCGTGATGGTGATCATGCATATTCATGTAGTTAAATGCTCTTGGGCAAATGAATTTCCATAATTTAAAAAGTTTGACGTGCTGGAAAGAGGGGATGAAGAAGCACTCTGGCCGTTATTTCAGCAAACTTTGCCTCTTCTTAGAGAATTATTTTATGTACATATAACTAATTCTGGGGTGAAAACAATATTGTTTGACGAAGACAAACTGCTCCTTTTTCACCCTTTCGCTGGCTCAAAATTATAAGACTTAGTGTCAAATGAATTTCCACTCGGCTGAAGCGAAGAAAAATTCGCGTGCGCGTAACAAGCCGCTTCCTGCACAGGCAGAGCGGAAATGGGCACCATCCTGGCGTCTCCTTTGAACTGATTCTGCAGATCTCACCGTCCGTCGCCTTTGTTTAATTGCATTTGTCGAGTTGGTCGTAGGGGTCGCGGTAATTGCGTTATTACTCTGCTGGGCTAAAAGGGTTGTTTGCCAAGTTATCCGAGACCTCTCTCTTTACTCGCCTCATTACACCCTCCATTAAGCAGCAGTAAACTGCGCCGTCCTTTCTTTGCCACCTTAACAAACGTCCCCACAGATTTCACCGACAAGCAATTTTAATTCCAAAACAGATTGACAGTTTACAAACCATGACAGTAATAACTAATCTCTTGAGCCGATAATTATTTTGTTAGATAGGTTTTTTTTACAGTCGTCACTATTTAAAAGATTTTCAACATTTACATGGAAAATAATGTCATTTCATTTTTCACAAGAAAAGAAGTGAACTTGCGACAACCTTTGGGGTCCAGCCTAGGGAACTGGACCAGGGTGCGAATTGCACAGCTTATTACCCAGCTATTAACTACTTAATAGCTGGTGCCGGGTCAAGGAACCAACCTCCGTGGTTCGGCACGTTGAGTGCACGGTGACTAAAGCTTATTCGATTATCGCCTTGAATAATTCTATGAATGCATTACTTATTAAATTAGTTTACACTTTATTCTTTATTCTCAATTGACTGACCCTCACCCTCTATGCCTTCGGCTCACCCTGAAGACCTCCTGTCCAAGGACACAGCCCGCCGGGAGTGTTGTGGTTTCCAAAGACTTCTTTAAAATCACTATATTTCTATTCTAGGAATTAACAAATAAAAACCAGACTTTATGCTCTGCGAGCCAAGCAAACACTATTATTTTTATTGTGCGGCACCGAGGTGTCGCCTGCTCTGATTTGAGGGGAAATACAGGAGGAGTGGGATAACATATATTACATGAATACAAAATAATATTATTCTTTATTTACAGTAATAATATGGTCGTCACAAACTAAATTAAAATTGCCTTTTTTTTTAAAAAAAAAAGAGTGGAATTATTGATTGAAATGTGAAATCCACTGGCGAACTTATTGAAAATTATGAATGTCATTAAATAAAATTTGTTTTTACTTCCATTGTAATTTTTGTTATTTTTGTGCTATTTTATTTGGAAAACACATTGTCATCACAAACCACCCGTGCAACAAATTTCTTTTGTGATTTATATATAAATAATAAAAAAAATTGCTGTTAAGTTCATAATTATTCTCTTCTTGTGCTAATTGTAAATAGAAACCAAGATGAAAATTTAATATCAGTTTTTTGGTTATAAAATAAGAATAACACTGGGTATCATTTTTAATTTAGTTGCAAATTAAGTTTATGAAGTTTATTGATGTACCACAAGGCAATCTCTTCCTATAGCGTGATACATCACCCAAATATTCTAAATTATAATGAAAACTACAAACAAAATTTATTCAATACTGATTCAATATTCAAACGTTGAAAATTCTATGGTTAATTTGAGTTAAAAATATTTTCTGCTCATCAAAACAAATTGGAGATTTTCAGCATTCATTTTCTAGAATTTCATTTTTCAATTGTTCCATCTGAACTTTTGCTGCTTGAACTTTGTTTAGAATTGTTCAGTAATTGAACTCTGCGCATAAAATTGTTCTAGCAGAGCGCTTAGCAAGTCTTTAAAGTAATTCCAGCTTATATAGCTTTTTCTGGGTGATAAATTTCACTTGCTCTAAAGAGGTATTAAGTATTCTGTGAGCAAACCACCCTCTTATCAATGTAGACAAAAGCCAGAGAGGATATGTATAAAACTTTTTTATGGAACAATAAATTTTAATGATTCATCTACCGAAACAAAAGAAAAGAGCTATTAAAAGAAGAAAAGTTTCTCTTGCAAAGCGAAATAAGCGAACGTGAATTTTGCGCAATGTTCCTACGCGCGGGAATATAACAAAGCGCGAATTATGAATGAAGCGCAAAAGCTGTCGCTGTATGCGCAGGACTGTTTGGCTAATTCCTCGGCATTATCTCCTCACAATGGGCCGTAATGGCGGCAGTAATTGATTCAAACACACACGAGAAAGCGACTATTTGTGTGTCCTGTTTTACTATGTACCAGTTGAATGCAGCAATCAGTAGAATTTCGCTGAGCGAGCGAGTGAGCGCTTTAAACAGGTCACTGGAGTAATTCAATTGCAAATTTTGCGCTGAGTTATGTGCACACGTTAAACAATTGCACGCCTGAACTAATCTAAATATTTGGCATAACATTACACAGGCAATTCATTACGCAAATCATTATTCTAATAGACCAATTTAAATTTCAAAGTGACAGGATTATTTAGGCAGAATAACTAATAAATTATTTGTATTTAATTTAAAAAAATTCGAAAAAATTTTATTAATTGTTTTATATTTAAAATTAAAATTTAAAAATTTATATTTAAATAAAAATGAATTAATAAAAAAATGAATTATACTTTTGGTTTTTTCTTTAATTATTGTTTAAACAGCAAACAAAATACACATTTCTTCAACAGAAAATCTTCCTATAATGTGTTGAATCGTGTGCAAAATTAAAAAATAAAAATGATAAAAATATTTGTTTTAGACGCAGGGCCGATTTTGGAGCAGTTGGGTCGGTGCCTGATCGAGAGATGTCTGGGTCGGTTGGAACGCGCGTTCCGCAGTTTGGGGCCGGACATGCAGAGTCTGCTGACGTCCCTGGACGGCGTGCACGACGTGCTGCAGGGCGAGGAGGAGGACGAGACGCAGGAGGAAGGCTCGTTTGTCTGCAGCGTGGTCGCCCCCGGAGAGCTCGAGCTCAGTTTCAGCACGGCCCGCAAAGGGGTGGCGCAGCTGCTGGCGGGCTCGCTGGCTAAACTCGCCGACCGGCTGCACGGCACGCGGGTCCTCGTCAAAACCGTCGGCCACCGCAAGGACCAGGCCGGACTGTCCCACTACCTCCTCAGCATCTCCATCCCTCAGCTGCACACGACACAGGTAGATATTTCTATGCTAATCACGGAAAAAAAGGATTAATATTAATTTTCATTGTAATTTTTATATAATTAACCATATTAGCAATTGGAAACCTATTTATATTTACATAATTATTTAACTGAAACTTTTTATGTAAAAGTTTTTAATTTTTGTGTTAATTAAATTATTTAATTTTTTTTTAGTTTTAATATAAAATTTGTGCGTAATTTTTTTGATGATTTTTCATATAATTTTCCAAAAAGTAATTTTTATATAATAAAACTTACTTTTGTATAATTATTCTTGGGATGTAATAATTTGACGAATATTATGTAAAAGAGATTTATTTTAGATTGTTTTCTGCTCTATCTTGTTGGAATGAAGAAATTTTTATTATTATATTTTCTTATGACTGGCAAACGATTTACAAAATTAATAATCAAGAATTAAAGTAACCACCTAAACAATTTATTAACGCTTTAAATCAATTTCTATAATACGCTAAGAAAAGCAATTTACAGGAAACCAGAATTGAATTCGTTACATGATTCAATTTCAATTAATTCTTATCATTAAATTATAAATAAATTACGAGATTAGTCTCTTATAATGAATTTTGAAGAATGAAAATTGATTAATGTAAATTTGACCATTTATTGTTAGGCTGAAGTTGAATGTTTGGCGCCGAGTGCGTCGACTTCGGCGTCCGACCTGCGGATGAGCGTGTCCACCATGTGCAAGGCCTTTCCGTGGCACTTCGTCCTCGACCGCAACCTCGAGTTCACGCAGCTGGGCAGCGGCTTCATGCGACTGTTTGCCTCGGAAATGACTGATCACGGCCGTCACATAGGCACCTACTTTGACCTCGTCAAGCCCAGGGTGCCACTTTCCTTCGACGCCATTCTCAAGCGCTCAAACACGCCCTTCCTCCTCGCCATCAAAAGCGTCAACGGATCTCCCAATTCGAAAGCGGCACAGGTTTGTTCTTTATTTCAATTCTATTTAAAATTTTAATGTCAGTGACGTCAAGTTTCAATAAGAATTGTACAAAATAATTTTTTATTCTTGAATTTTTCATGCTTGATATAATTTCTTTCAATTTCGTGTCAAGCAACGATCCTGCTCAATCCCAAACAATAAACTACACTTGATTTCGAGTCTGATTAATCTTGAAAGGAGGAGTTCAATCGATTGGCTCGCAGGGAACAATGCTAGGCATTATTCATGGTGTCTATTCAAAGCCCGCGAGATTTGGCCTGCAAAGAGAGAGGTTTATTGATTGCGCTCGTCGCCAGCCACGATTTGTTATTGTGTTTCTCGCTTTATCCTTTCCTCACACCGGCACGCCAGGATTACCTGAGCGCCGTATAATTCTAAGAAAACGCATTCGATCTAAAAGTTTTCCAATTCCAAGTTTTTACAAAGCCAACTTTTATTCAACGTGCAAAGAGTATTTTTCCTTCAACAGTATTTACAGAATATACCATGCCTTGTTAATAAATATGAGATTAAATTTAACTTTTACTTTATACATTTTGCATTACATTTCAATAATAAATAGTATAATTCATGTTACATTATAAATTTGTTGATATCACCAAGAGTCTAGCAATTTTAATAGACCGTAGAACAATGTTGATTCAATTGGAACCGACTATAATTGATTATCCTCTAATTTTAAAATATATTCTAGTTTCCCCCCCCCCCCCCAAACATAATTCAACTCAAAGCAGAATATTACAGAAATTTCCTCATATAAGAATGTATTGTTTTTACACTAGATTATGATATTGTATTTTTATTAATCTCAAACATTTAAATTTAATGATGTCAACTTGATTGTTTAGTCAACTTAGGCCATTTTTACATTAATTAGCTTTATTCATTTCACTCTTTGAAGTATGCTTATTAAAAGTGTTAAGATATGAATTTTAAAATCAGTAATACGTTTACCAATTTCATATTATTTTTGGACCATAAATTTATGACATGCATTAAATTATTGTTTAAGTGAACTATGAATATTTTAAAATTTTCTACCGCAAGATATATTAATTAAAACACGTATCGCAAGTATCTATTCAGTTGAACTGAATTTTTATAGATTAAATTTAGCTTTCAAGTGATGTTTTGATTTTTAATTTAGCTACAAAATATGTTGATTGCTGACCACAGAGGAAATTCAGCCTCCTTATATTCAGAATCGCCTAGGCCCCTTATTTCCATTTAAATCATTACATAGCACAAGCGGAATGTAAATTCACTCAGGGATCGTTTGAGCCGCCTCATTATTTATGAAAAACACGTAAAAAATTGACGCTTGGGAGGAACTTGGCGAGCAGAAAACCGTTTTTTTTCCGCCTTTATTGCGTTCTCGGTGATTATACGATGCCGTCGCTGCGAAATTAATAAAAAGGAGGCAGCGACAGATGAAATAAATCTTTTGTAATGCGGCGTAGCATTCCGAAGAAAAGAACGAGCGATGCAAACGTCCTTCTTCGTCAAAAGCACTGGCCTAGATTTATGCCTTTAATAACGCGCAGTGCATGCGTTGAATGCAGAAAAGCTTCCGAGTCGCTGCGCCCCGGACGGACCCCTTTCAATTTAATCTCCGCTTGCATAAACTTTTCCAACCTTTTCCATAAATATAAATCCTTTGTCCGCGCTTTCCTTTTTTAATGGTTCGGTTTTGCTTTGCAGGGCATGGAGCTCAAGGGTCAGATGGTTTTCTGTCCCGAGTCGGACTCGCTGCTGTTCGTGGCGTCGCCGTTCCTGGACGGCCTCGAGGGCCTCACCGGCCGCGGCCTCTACATCTCAGACATTCCAATCCACGACGCGACCAGGGACGTGATCCTGGTGGGCGAGCAGTCCAGAGCGCAGGTACGCCAATATTTCAGCACACGTTGAGCCGCAGGCCAAATATTAGCTTTGCTCTTGACGGCAATTTGTCCCCTTGTTCATCGCCTTATCAACATTAATCAGTGCGTGTAATGCCTCGATTCTGCAAATATTGGACAGGCCCTGCGCCGCTAAGATAAAGCGCAATCGCATTTAACCTTAAAGGGTACAACAACCTTAAACAATTTAATCATACATTTGAACTAGGACAAGAAGAATTAGATTATTTAATTTGTCACTGGATCGCAATTAATTTGCATAAATTTTATCAATTTTCTATGAAGTCCACATTTATCAATAAAATGTGATTTTTCTGTCTGATATTCACAAAATTTATATTCTATTTTACTGAAAATTGAATGCTAATTATAACAATTGGACAGATACAACAACAATAATAATGACATTAAGGAAATAATTAAAAATAAAATTAGAAATTAATTTAACTCTTTCCATTGATTTTTTAGCATTTTAATGCACACCAATATTTGTAAAATTTAGATTCGTTTGTCATAATTCATAGAATATAATTTGAAGTCTTTCAGCTGAAAAAATTTAAGCGATATTTAGAAGAAGAAAAATTAAATTCTCTGAATTTATTTTTCCAGTAAAAATTTTATCTATATTATCACTAAATGATATATTTGTAAGCAAAGAAATTAAATTTGCTATTTTTCATTTGCCAAATTCGCATTTTTCTGTATGCACATTTTAAAATTGTATCCCCATTTCAGAATCAGTAAATTTAAATTATTACCTTTCAGTTATCTTTGATAAAAATAAAATACAAGTGGATTTTCTTCTTCCATGAATATAATTTTTGGGATAAAATTGTGACTTTTCACACGATTAAAAAAAAATTTCAATTATTTTAATTATGATACTGCCAAAAGTTTAACTTAAAAATGAATTAATCATGGTGCGCAACTAAAACTCTGTAATCTTAACATATTTTTTTACCCGTCAATTTAAAATTATCATGATCCCTTTCAAATAAGCCCAGACCTTTTGTAAGTCATTTTTATCAAGTTTCCTCCAAATAAGAGTAAATTTGATTGATTTTCAATCAAGCAGGTTTCTCTGCTGTCTAAAACACTGCCGCTCTGCCAAGCGAATCCATTTGAAAAGCAATATCATTCGCTTCGCACGCCTCCCGCTCGTCGACAGATACGCTCAAAGTTTGATTCGCGAAGGCCACCCAGGATTTGCAATTATCCTGGAGATAGGGAACTGCTGCCTGGCTGGGCGTTCATTATTTTATCATTAGATTACGGCCGGGCAGAGAATGGTAATTGAATTCTCCATTTGAGCTCGTGCAGATTAATCATGACGAAGAACGATTTGTGCTCTCGCGAGAGCAATATCCGCCCCGCGCGAGAATGTTTGCCTTTTCGCCCGAGCGCCGTACAATAACGCAAATTTAGATGTAAAAGTGCCGAGAGGTATGGATACGACCAGAGCACACACAGATTGTAATCCGCAGAAAGTTTTCATTTGACTCTTCAGTCCCGAGGCAACTTTCTTTATTTGCAGAGTTTAATTGAAATTAAAACTGGAACCGGCATTGGAAATCTTCATTCCTTATTACAAGTTCTTGGTTTTTATCAGTTTCATTTAAAATTAAAATCTATAATTTATTTGGCAATGCAAATCTTTATTAATCCCAAGTACACATATTTAATAAGAATATTGTTTCCAATAAATTTTATTTGCCCTTGTAAAAAATTTTATTATGAACTAAAATCACATTAATATATATCTTTTTAAGGTTATTTTTTAAATTTTGAAAATTATTTTCGCTTAAAATTTACATAAAATGGAAACAGCAGAAAATAAAATAAGCTTGCGGCTGTGATTTAATTAAATAAAATTTATCATTCACGACAATTTACGTGATATGCTAAAATTTTAATGGAATCAAAAAGTGCTCTCTCATTTCATGCACAATTTAAAAATATTTGAATAGCTCCCTCAGGTGTAGAAACTGATCGATAAATTTCATCAAATCAAATTGGTTTTATCACTCAAAAGCAGCGTACACGCCCTCTCAAAAGAGTTAAATTCTTGCCTGTTGGCTTTGCCTGCAAAGGACCAAATTCAGCGTTCAATTGGAAATCGGCGCGCAAAGTTCGCAGCCCGAAAAGCCCTTTGGCGCGTCACGTGCTCATTTTGAAATTCGCAGCACACTCGCGCACCACTTCTCGCTCTTGCCATTCCGTGAAAGCCTGCCTGCTGAATACGCTGAAGTCGCTCGCGTGTTGACGCAATTTGGCCAAATAAACTTTGTCGGCAGCCGAAATTAATTGCAGTCTACGTCAAACAACAATAGTCAACAAACCAGCATCGCACCTTTAAGACCCGCTTTGATGGATTTATCAAAGACGAGACTACATTTCATTCTGTGCTTTCGCTAAATTTCTTGATAAATTTTCTGAACTTATTTCACTAGAAGTTCTTTGCTGGTAATAAAAATAATTTCTTTTCATTTTATTATGTAATATTTTAATTGACTCTAATCGTAGCTATCAAAGCATAAATCATTGAATGCATCAAATTTTTAAAACATAGATTAATAGGAAAAATGAAAATATTACTCTTATATGTCTTGTGGAAAAAAATCTACTGTTTTTTTTTCAACAAAAAATCTATCCGCTTAATTAAGATATTGCCCACTCTAAAATTTTAATTTCATACAGTGCAAATTTCAACCAGAATGTTGTACCAAGGTTAAATATGTGAAAACGGTCCCAATAACCTGTAACATCAATATTTAATTTTGAAAACCTTTTTCCTGATTAGAAATAATTACTGAAAGTAGTAAACTACGGTCGATTGTGAAGAGTCCCATTGCAGAAAATCGATTTGAACGCGAGTTGACTTGAAGCAATAAACTTTTAAGCTGAAATTTGTTTTGCTAAATTTCAATTAAATTAGCAGAAAACTATTTTTCACCTCTTTTTCTGTGTTTGGGTCAGCAGCCGTTTCCAAACAAGTTGCCAATATGTCTGAAGTATTTCTAGCCTTAAATTTTTAAAATTATTACATGTTACCAAATTCTTATTTTACTTCACCTCGGAAACAGTGTCACCACAACACAAAACTAGCAAACAGAGCCTCACGGCGGATATTGTCAATATAATACAATAAATTATGGCCAATTCCACACTCTGTGCTTCCTTTTCAGTTGTTAAAATATTTGCTAGAATTGTGATCGTGTTGCTCGTCAACTGTGTAACATCTGCCGTCCAAAACAGTGAAAATTCTGAGTTTATGATGTTAATAGCTCGGGATAGTTCACAAAAGCACGATTTCAAATTCGCAATCTGGTTGACTGAGTAAAAATTCCTCCATGGATTTTTGTAAAATATCTTTTCCCTTCCGTTGGGATGCTGAAAATTTCAAAGATTGAAGAAAAATGCCCATTTCAAATGTTCCAATAGTTCACTATTTTACCTGAACATAGGTGAGAAGATATTTGTTAATTAAAGAGAACCTCTGCTTGACCTCCAAACAAATTACGTATCCCAACTGAGATTGCGTTGTATGGAGAATGAGGTGGAAATATAGACACAGATTTCCGACTTGAGCGAACCAATTCGGAAATTTTCCTGGCGACAGGATTATGCAGAAGAGAACCAATATGAATGCAAAAGGAGTTATCAATTCCAGCCATTTGAATTTTTGTGTTGAAGTTAAATCTATTTCAAGATGATTCAATTGCAAATCAACCTACAAAATAATAATAATTTATCTCAGGTATAGTCCATAAATAACTTGAATTTTTACTTTGTGAAGCAGTGAGGAAACCTTGTTGACCAACTGGCATCTCCGGCCAGTTAAAAGTGTAGAAGTGGCAATCGCAGAGAGGAGGACGTAAATTAGAAAGCTGAATTGCACATTTGCACCGCGTTCCAATGTCTTAGAATGTTCGTATATTTCATAAGAAGTTAGCAAATTTATAAATATTGCCAAACTTTTAAACAATTTGGAAAGTGAGTTATTAAAATTTGAGAACTTCAGCAATTTTATATGAATTGTGTCATCAAAAATAATTCGAAATGGCAAAAGACTTGTCAATTGCAGACAGGAGAATGTTATTGGATGGCTTTCGATAAAACCTTTCACTTGCGACTTCATGGCAGGAGCAGAGCAAACTGAATGACAATTTGTCTGATGAAAAATACTTATTGATCCGACCTAAAACAGATCAATAGCTGAAATGAATTAGAGAAATTTAATTTCATCTTTTATGAATACTTAACTAAGTTTAGTGCATTTTACGAATTCATTCTATATGGTTATTTTAATAAATTTGTATTGGTTTAATTTTCATGAAAGATTTCATACAGTTTATTCATAGCAAATTAAAATATTTTAAATATTATCTTATGTATTATGTAATTATCAGTAGTGAAACTGCTGTGCTATTGTGACAGAATGTTTTATTTTGCAAGTTTTACACACTTTTAAGTCTATTTCATGTTGCAACTTTTTACAGTGAACATCAACCAGAGTGCTGCACTAAAGCTAAATATGTAAAGACGGTTCCAATAACCTATAATACCAACATTATATTTAAAAAAATATAATATCGATAGGAGATAATTACTGAAAGTAGCAAACTGCGGTCAATTGTGAAGAGTCCTGATGCTGAAAATCGGTAAGTGCGCGAGTTGACTTGAAGTAAAAAGCGTTCAAGCTGAAATATAATCATTTCAAAATATTTTAAGTAAACAAAACGTAAGGAAAGTTAGTTCATAATGTGCTCAATTGCTCACCTCCTTAAATATTTCTGGATCCCCAGCCGTTTCCAAGCAAGTTGCTAATGTATCTGAAGCGTATTTTGCCTGATGTAGCAATTAATCAAATTGATATAATATAATATGATAATTATTATATATCTCACCTCGGTAACAGTGTCACCGCAACATAAAACCAGCAAAAAGAGTCTTGTAGCACATGTTATAAATATTACAACATAA